TACCTTTTAGAGATCAGCTATCAACACAAACTACCCAACCTATCTATCTACAAACCTAAAGGCTAAAACAATCCATTCCAAGAAACTCCGGAAAAAACAGCGTGTTCGAAAAAAACTTCACCGAACCTATACAAACGCGACACCAGCCCAGCCCAGCCCGAAAATCGACTAAAATGTGAAACCAGATATCCAAACAGAGACCAATCTTTCAAATTTAAACAAAGACCATCAATCAAATCTGCAACGCAGCCAGACCTCTTAACCTCCCTGTCTGCCTTGCAGCAAGCAAACCCACACGGGCCCGACCACCCGAAGGCCCGTGATGAAGCCCACCTCGATAGTGATAGTAATCCCTCTCCATCACATAATCCCCCACCACTACAGCTCCCGGCATAGTCGACCGAATAGTGCTCAGCACATCTTCGACGGCCCGTTCGTCCTCCAGCCTCTGCCACCTGGCGGCCCTCGCGGGGTCCACTTCCCGAGGTCGAACTAACGGGTGCTCGATTTTCGCGTGCCTCCTCAGCTCTCGGTAGTTTCCCCTGAAATGACAGCTGTCCTTCGTGCACGAGCGGCGCTTGGCGTCCAGGTGGCGGCGCGCGGGCCCCACGACGGTCCAACCCTTGACCGCTCCGCGGCAGAGTGGGCACAAGAGCTCGGGAGGTGAAGTGGGGCCCACAGAGGAGTAGGCTGCCGCCTTTTTGTATTGGTGGAGGCAGTTTGAGTGGCGGTGGCTGGTGGCGCACATGAAAGGGCGGCAGCCCTTTTCGTGGGAGGAGCAGAGGAGGAGAACGGCATTGTGGGGGAACTCCATGCAGACGGAGCAAAGGGCGTTTTCGTACTCTTGGGTTTCGAGTGGTGGTTGGGCTTGGGCTTGAGCTTGGGCCCGTTTCTTGGCAGAGTTCGTGGGCCCAAAAGGGGGAGGCTTGGAGGAATGTTTTTCGTGTCGGTTCTTGGATTTGGCCATGATTATGGATTTGGGAACTTTGATTTTGAGAACAAGGGGAAGCCTAGGAAGTAATAATAAGTGTGAACCAGATGAAAAATGGAGTCTTTTTTAAGTAGAACAAATAGCTCATACCATGGATTAGATTAAACTCAAGTCAAAAACTAACTTTTCTCATACACTGCTTGCATAAACACATCGAGCATGATATAAAGACGAGAACTTTGTACTTATAATTATATTTATCAGATGAGAAATCGAAATTTGAACAAAAAATCAGTTTAAAAGATCAAAACTTTTACACTCCCAATCTCTCAATCTACCATAAAATCCTCAATAAAACAAAAAACCCATTAGGGCAAACCAAGGAAGTAATAAGTGTGAAGCAGATAAAAAATGGAGTCTTTTTTAAGTAGAACAAATAGTTCATACCATGGATTAGATTGAACTCAAGTCAAAACTAACTTTTCTCATACATTGCTTGCATAAACACATCCAGCATGATTATAAAAGACGAGAACTTTGTACTTATAATTATATTTATCAGATCAGGAATCGAAATTTGAGCAAAAACCAGTTTAAAAGATCAAAACTTCGCACTACCAATCTCTATCTACCATAAAATCCTCAATATATATATATATATAAAAAAAAAAACATTAAACTACGGTAACCCAGATAGAAAGACATGCCGATTCTAACGGAGAGTTAATTTTCGTTCCCATCGATTAACAGATACAACGACAATTAGGTAACCAAAAGCCACACAATTTACAGATAAACAAACAAAAGCAACGAACTTGAAAGCCCAAATTACCTCGAAATGAAGAAAACGAAAAGGAATCAGAAGGGATGGAAACCCAAATGTGTGGATGAAAAATGCGACAAGGGTTTATATTTATCTACGACGATAGATTAATTATAGGCAGTGTAATCGGTTGGATTCGAAAGGTTGAGAGAGAAAGGTGGAATTTTTTCTCTCTTTCTTCACCGCACCATCTCCGCGGACACACGATATAGGGCAAACAAACGCCACTACTTCCACCTTCTTTCGGCCATTACGCGGCGGTGATGGATTTTATATACGGAATCATAGGGATATGCTGTTATTATTTGTGGATATCTCGTTTGGTTTTGTAATTGTGTTTGTATATTTATTGTTGTAATTAGTGGCATTTTTAATTTCAGATTTTGAAGGTGTGGTTGCGTGAGTCGTGACTTAATGAAATTCTCTTTCAAGGATCTTATTGTAATTGGTTTACTTTTTTACTACTATTATATGTTGCTTAGAATGTCAATGCAATAGTTTAGTGAGAAAAAAAATTAGTGGGCTGCCTTTATTATTTTTTAATTAAGTGAGATATAACAAGGTTTTGTGGAATTCAATAATTGAAATATTTTTTGTTGCTGATTTTATTTTATGTTGTAGTTTTTTCCTAAATGTTGCCTAAGCAAGACTTAATTACTTTAATATGTTCTTTTATTGTTAAAGGAGAAAAGCAAAGTGACATTATTTTTATTTTCGTCACCGAGTCGATGCTATAGTGTCATAATGATTTTAAAGATTGTTATGATGAAAATGGAGTCATATGTTGTCATAGTGATTTAAAGATTGTTTTGTTGAAAGTCAACGACTCAAATTTGACGGGTGATTGTTTATAAATTCAACTAGATTTTAATTAGTTTTTTTAATTATAGTTAATTTTTACAAAAATTAATATAGTTAATTGTTAGTAAATATATTAAAATAATATTTAAAAGAAAATAATTAAAGTTGATATCATGCAAAAGTAAGAAAAAAATAATTGAAAATGATAGTTAATTAAAATTATGTGAATAGATGAATAATGAATTAAAATTGATATGATAAATATTGATAATATTAGAGATAGTAGAATTGAGTTAAAATGTAGTTAAATTTGAGTTTTGATTTTTTTTTTTAGTTGAGATAAATAATAATTGGTAAAAATGAATTCAACTCAAATGTATTCATACTCAAAAAAACGAAAATCTGTCATCACAAGAAACCAACAAATCAAAAATGAAATTACATCAGAAACCAATGCACACATTTTCACACTCTCTCTCTTTACACTTGACAGTTAGGAGGGAAAATCTATACATAGTCCCCCTGTTGAGATAAATGGAAAAATTAATAAATAACCCTAATGACAACATTTGCATCCAAAGAAAAACTTCAAGCAAAAACCAAAAAAAAGGGAAAAAAAAAAGTGAACAACTTTGTTCCAACAGGAAGATTGAACACTTGATGCCCACAACAAACTGAGATACAAACTACACACATTTCTGTTTTTCTTCGTCCTTTTTGGGTATTCCATATTCGTTAACACAGGGTTTTCACTGTAACAAAAGCAATTAGGTCAAATAGTGAATGTTATTGCAAAATACAATATAATTATGAAGTTAGGGATATCCTAATTTCCTAATACATTACTGTGATTATCCACTGACAATTAGCTTAAATCTGTCGGGCCGAAAACTGAGGAGATGTGAGGCCCGAAGAGAGTTGGTTGAGGGGCCGTTTCACAAAGGGATGGTCCAATAGCTGAGCAGCCGTGGGCCGTGAGTTCGGATCGACTTGCAAACACTTGAGAATGAAATAACGTGCATCATTCGAAAGTGAATCCGGGATTTCGGGCCTCTCACCCTTTCCTATCCTGAATAATGCTGCCATTTGCTGCACATACAAATATAAAATTATTTTAATTCCAAAATCCATAGCCAGTCGCATTTTTTCATTCGAAAGAGATAATTCTCCAGATATTTTCACCATGCAGGTAAGTTGCGGGTAGAATTTAGGTAAAAATCAGCCTAATGTTCGTGTGGGTGACCAATGAGTAATGACCATTTTGGCCTATTTCCCGAATTTTGAACGCTAAAAGGTGGCATACGGCAAATAGTAATATGAATAATTGACAGAAATATTCTATGGGAAGAAAGAAGAACATTTCAAGATATAAAATTCGGACAATTTAAGTTACTTTAACTTACGCATTCCAAATGTGAGTATGGAAAACGTCTAGTCAGCATCTCCAATACGGAGCATCCTAAACTCCATATATCTGCTGGCAGTCCATACCCCAGGCTTCTAACAACCTGCAGCCACATTGATCGATAAAGTAAAAATAAAAAAAAAAAATGCAGCGAGAAAAGTTTTGTGCTATGCCCCTACCTAATTGGTCACATAAAAATGGAAAAGAAAGTGCCACGAGAGAAGTAAACCGCTATAAACACGTATTTTTGTTCATTTAAGGAAACCTTAAAAGCAACAGATTATGTATAAAAATAAAATTCGACTTGTATAATGCCATGGTACTACTTCATGAAAAGAAATAAAGATGCCTCATCTTAATGGGGAGAAATTTTAGTATTTCAACTGGTGAGTTAATGGTAGAGTTAATCAAAGATTCTTTGGAGTAAATAGTTTAGTGGTCAAACCTCAGGAGCCATCCAGAGTGCAGTCCCCTTGCAAGACTTCACATCGTTTAACTTAGTGGCCTGCAAAATAATCAATCGCAGAATGTTATCAGAGAGTAATAAGAAACATAAAATATAAAAAAGTTTGCAGAAAAACCATTTGAAAGCCATGAAAGATCTAAATAGAAATGGTAAAAATAAGGGAGAAAAGAGATCAAACCTTTGCAAGACCAAAATCTGCAAGTTTCACCAAACCATTAGTGTCTACCAATATATTTGCACATTTGATATCTCTGTACAAAAGACAATAAAAAAAAAAAAGATAGGAGACTTTAGCAATTCTGAGTTGGTAGAAAGGCATACAACATCTGAATTACTTTCATCATATTGAACTCACAGTCGCTCAACCATAAACTGATCCCTTCTAATGTTGGCACTATACTAAGAAGGAAATTTTTTTTTCCGAATAAATCAAAAGTGATACAGAAACAATAGTAAAGAATAAGCAATTAAACCTAAAATATGCAGTCATAAAGATTAGCTGGGATGTAGTATGCAAGAATTGACCATGATACGCTAAACCAACAAGAATCATAATCGGTACACAATACTACACTAGAATAATTACATAAATGTATTTAACTGTAAAACCATCTCGAAATTAAACAATAGCTATTTGGTAAAAAATGTAAAAATTGAGTAAAAGCTTCTTTACTAACCTGTGCACCACATTTCTGTCATGCAGATATTTCAAACCATGCAGAATTTGCCTTGTATAAGCAGAGACTTGAGAATCTCGTAAGTTATATTTCTGGTAAAGGCTCAAAAGGGAGCCTTTAGTAACAAGCTCTAGGAAGATGTAGAGATTCGATTCGTCCTACAAAGAAAGACAAAATAAATCTTTAGCATGTGTTACTAATAGCAAGAGGATAAATATAAACTTTTAACATAACTTTATATGGACAATTAAAGTATCTAACATGTACATATCTATTCTTGAAGTCCTGGAAATACATTATTCACAGCAATTTAAGCACCAGTCATATAAGAGTAAAGAAAAGAATCTCACACATATCTTTAATGTCAAAGAAATGGGTAACCCGGATGCATGAGGAGGAATACTGCAACAGCTATTAAATACCTCACAGCGCTAATATATAAATAATGACAACTACAAAGAGCACTACCTTCTTTGTGCCATAATACTGGACAATGTTCTCGTGTTCAAACTGACTCAGAAGAGCAATTTCCTGGATAGACAGAAATATGTTTATAAGACAAAAGGGGCAGGAAAGAAATAAAAAATCCCACACCAGTAAATAATTAGAGTGTGGAAACAGAGTTACTTGAATGCTAGACCTGTTCAAGTTGAATGAGACGTTGCTTTCCTTCATCCTCCTGATCTAGTAAAGATACTTCCTTTACAGCAAAGAAGAATCCATCACTGCAGCAAATCAGACATTAATGCTTAAAATATAAACGAAGAATCTCTATTTCTGACTTAATTGACATCCAGATGAAGTTTAAAGTTTAAACCCCTAAGACAATAGCCTCAGCACATGCATCATTTGCATCAATAACTCAACATGACATAAGAACCTGTATTCTACCTACATATCTTGCAGCATATTATATTTGCATAATTTTTCATCATGAAGACGGACACTCAAGATAAAAATTTTGCATGGTCATGTAGATATTACAAAGTATAATATTCAACTAACAATAACTAACCCTGCCCAAACCACAAGCAGCAGCAAGTGCCCCACGCTAGGAATTAACAACTACAATTTAGCATCGACAGTCCGGTAATGTAAGAAGCACTTACTCAGCAATTCCTTCATACACAGATCCGAAAGATCCACGGCCCAAGAGATCTCCCTTCAGCCACTCAGAAATAACGCGTTTAAATCTCACATTAGGCGAGATGCTCAACGTTGGTTCAGTTGTGGTACTTGAAGTATCGTCATCATTCGAACTCGCCGTGAATGAACAGGAAGCCGAATGAACACAATTCTCTTCCCTCATAATTCCCCTGCTCCTCCTATCCTCCACTTCATCCTCATCCCCTTCCTTTTTCAGGCCTTCCCTTTCTTCATCCAAGCAAAACCCTAGTCCAAATTTTGAAACTTGTGTGCCGCTATCCGGTGTAAATGCTCTGAAAATATCCCATGTTGTGCATTCTTTATCAATCACAGGCACCAAGATAGGAGGCGGCGGATTAAGAAGGGGCGGCCGAACACCCTTGATACCATTTCCACGAGATTCGTTCGAACCGATGCTCGATTTACCGTTGCTCAAAGTTACATCAGTAACCATCACACTATCCTTTAATCCAGTACCATTATCAACGTCTTTACCATTCAGGTTATATAAATCAACGTCTTTACCATTCAGGTTATATAAATCAACAGCGTCGTTATCGACCCTTGATGTGGTATCTACTAGAGGCTCGATAGCCTGAATGAAAGCAACAGGAGCAGAGGAAGATCTCACCTTCATTGCCTCGTACTCCTCAGGGTCTATTGAGAAGTCGTCGATCCCCGAAAATCCTAGGGTTCTGCAGATGATCTCAATCTCGCCGTCGACTCCCTCTATCCGGAAGCTGCCGTCGTACAGATCGAGGGAGCGCGTGCGCATAAATTCCTCCGGCGAGGAGCGCGAGGAAGACGAGTCAGATGGCAGTAAGTACTCGTACTTGATGTCCTTCCTGGCGTTGCGCCGGTCGAGCTTCGGCTTCATCTTGGCGGCTGGGCTGGTCGAGCTGGAGCTGGCGCCGGAGGAGCATTCGTCGCCGGTTCTGATGCGATTCGAGCTATGCCCGAACACTTTCGGTATGCGACGCATGTTTGCGGCGTGAAGCAAAATCCATGAATCGGAAAGAAGCAGCTGTGAGCTCCTCAGTACTGAGCGAGGGTTTTGACAGGAAAGATGAAACTTTCTTTCAACGGTGAGGCTATGGCGGAGCTTGGACTTGTGGAGACGACCGCCGTTTTAGAGAGAGAAGCGAAAAGGGCGTTGTAGGGAGAGAGAGAGAGAGAGAGAGAGAGAGAGAGAGAGAAAACGCGGAGACAAATGAGGGAGATGACCGGAAATCTGTAAGGCATATTTGTAAATTTTCATTTCTTTTGGTGGTGGTTGTTGAATATTAAACTATTTTAGGTGCCAATATGTCAAAGAAATAAAATTTTAACTGCATTCAACAAATTGTTTTCTATGTTATTGAAAAACTTTGAAAGTAAAGAAGAATAAAGACTACGTATTGGAGTTGCTATTCGGACATAAGGTTTTGCTTTTGCAAACACAGTTTGATTAGTTTAGTAGATGGGGCTTGGCTTATCCATTAATTTGAGTGACCAATAATTAATCAACCTAATTTATTATTCCTTCATTAATTTAAGTGACGAACAATTAGTCATCCTAGTTCATGCGCGTAGTTCATTTTTTTATGTTTCTTTTTAAATATTTTGAATTAACAATTGAGTCACGCAAGTTTGAGAATGGACAAATCGGATTCGCTAATCGATTTCCACTTGTTTAATAAATTCAACCGAGTTAAAGAATAAAGTATAGCGCACATTTGGTGTTGAATTATCTTAGCAAATTAAAAAATAGATCAAAAGTCGGCCTAAAAACGAGGTGCCTTATGTCATGATTTCGTTTAAATGACACATACATAG